GGGACAGATGATTTCCCTGATGTGCCACTTATATGTCACCGATGTGATTTATATCACACCAGCTAATGATGGGATATAGCAATGAGCGTTACTGACACCGTTGTTTAAGCTATGTCATTATACTATATATGATGTATTATATTAGAGAAAAATATGTGGGTTTTTTTTTCCTATTTCTTAGCCAAACATTTCTTCCTATTAGGCTGTATGGTCATTTCAAGGAAAAGAATGATTTAAGGCTGTGACATTGATGATGTCCTCTACCTCTCTCTAACCTGGATTTTTTACTAATACGCTGATGACTGAGACATGGGATACACACAACGATTTCCGTAGCGTTTTGCTAGCAGAGGGTTTACTGTTACCTTGAGATTTAATCCTTGGAGAATGTTCCCTTAATTGGCACCAGGCTTGCAGTGACAGAGTTGCAGAGAAGGCTTTTGGATTATTAAAAGTTGAAGCCTAATCAAGCGTTGAGGCAGCGACCCCACTCCTTCCTGTTACTACTGTGCAGGAGGCGCCATGTAAGTCTCACTTAATGAAAAGTCCTCATTCTTTGTATTCTGATACTTATTCTTTTCATGGTGCTCAGAGAGCTTCACAAATCCCACCCTTTCTACTTCCCGGCCCACTAGGTGGAGAGGACAAAATCTGTCCCAGGGTCCTGGCCCCACAGCAGCCCCCTCTACCCAGCTAAGCTTTCCCTTTACTTTTTTTGTGTCCACAGACTTCCTCTCATCCTCGTCTCTCCCTTTCATGTCTGTCATCTCTGCACGGGGGCGAAAAAAAAGACTTTTGCATGTCTTCAGCTGAGAACAAAGCATTTATATGGGAGAAAGTCTATATGTCTGATACTCTGAATCCTGACATGAAATTTAGCAGGTTTACTTTTCAGCTCCAGTTCCGTGGCTTCCTGACTCTGCTGAACTGAGGCAACTGAGGGTTGTCTGGTACGAATGAGGTTTCTAGCTTCTTCCCAACAGATCAGGGCTTCCTCGTTTTACCTAGTGTGGCTCTATGCACACACTTCACCTTTTGACTTTGCGTTTTAAAAATAGCCTCTCAAACAAATGCTGAAATAAGAAGTCTCGACTTTCCATTCTTTAGTGATCCACCCCAGTAAACCCTCAGAGTGTTGCAGAGCAACCAGGAAATGACAATTTCCACCGGAAGCAGAAAGACTGCCTTTTAAATTAGCCTACTGCAGCCTTGTGATACGCATAATCATTTGTCTGGTGTTTGTCCTGGGTTCCTGGCATGGATTTTCCTAAACCCTCGAAACTTCCTGAGTGACCTGAGTGTCTTTGTTATGCTAATGAGGTGAGTCTTGGCCCCTAGGTAGCTTCAGAATGGGTCTGGTCACCAGCAAGACCTGCCTGTGATTAGAGAGTGGGGGACTTTGGGCCAGCCTGACTCTGGAGAAAGGAGGGGTGATGGAGATTGAATTCAGTCCCATGGGCGATGCTTCAACCAATCTGCTTACCAATGGAACGCCAATAAAAACTGGATACCAAGGCTCTGTGGAGCTTCCTGGTTGCTGAACACATCGATGGCCCAAGAGGATGATGTGCCTGACACCATGGGGAGTGGACATGGAATCTCTGCATTTGGGACCCTTCTGCCCGCCCCCCGCCCTCCCTTCTCCGCCGCATACACTCCTTGAACTACATGTATCCCTTACAAAACAAACAAATCATTTGTACAGTGCCCAGTTCTGTTAGCCTAGCCGAGGAGTAGCGGTAACCTCTGCAGTGGTGGCCAGTGAGAAATGCAGGAGGCCTGGAGATATTAATTAAGGCTTCTGTCAGAAGTGGGAGTGTCTCGTGGGACTGTGCTAATTCAAGTGATTAGTGTCAATTGTATTACAGTGTGTACTCCATTGGGGTGGAAGCGGAATAACTTATTAAGGATACTTTTGTGATTTCTAATAGAAATGTTGAAATACCGGAAATAGTTCTAGATCTTCAGGCTGGACATTACAATTTGAAGCACCACCTCCTGCGTGGATAGGTTCAGAAATACCCCTTAGCAGACTCTGCTGTAAGTGTGGCCGGCAGACTCTGCAGGTCTGCAAACTGCTTATTACCAGTTCCTGATTGAGATGTGTACAGAACTGATGGGAAACATTTAGAAACTTTTTTAGCAATTGGACATTGCCCGAGTAGGAATGGAAATATTGAAGTATTAGGTCATGACAATTTGGGGTGGGGGAGAAGATCCTTCACCACAGACAGTTTAAGGAGGCTTGTTTAGAAAATACAGCTTCAGTTGGTATGATCAGATAGAATCAGAAATTAGTGTTAAAAATGTGAGCCCCAGAGTCGAGCAGAAGGGTTTGTACAGCATATCTGCTGCTTACTGTCTCTGTGGCTTTGGGGAAGTTACTTAACCTTCCTGGGCTTTAGTTTACTCATCTTTAAAATGGATATAGCAATATTTCCTACCTTATTAGGTTCTGAGAAGACCGAATGAGATAATCTAGAAGTGCTAAGCACAGGGTCTGGCACAGAGAGAGTTAACTGCTGGTATTATTTCTCTTATGATCATTTCTTGGCATCAGTGTTTTTGGCTTACTGAAAGCAGGTTCTGTATATGTGTATTTGATTTATCATTGTATATAAAATCTACAGCCTTGCTCCCATGTGAAGACCAAGAAAGCAAACACTTTTTGAAAAGCTACAATTAATGCATTAAATGAATGTTGCTTTTCATATTGTCCCTGTGAGAGGCTAGACTCTCATCAGTCTCAAGGACGCCACAATTGTTGGAAGCATTTTGGGCACTTCTCATTTGGCATCTCTATTAGAGCCTGTTCCAGTGATCTGTTCTGATTTAACGAATCACCTCAAAACTCAGTGGCTTAGAAAAACAAACTTTTATTATCACTCATGGTTCTGCAGGTCGACTGCCTCGGCTGGGTTCTTCCTTGAGGTCTTCCATATGGGTGTAGTCATAGGTTGGCCAGGGCTGGAACCATCTGAAAGTTCACCTGGCCTGGCTGTGCAAGATGGCTTCTTCACTCTTCACTTCGGTGCCGGGGCAGGGGCAGCTCAGGACTGGCTGGCATCTCTCAGTCCATATAGCCTTTCCACACGGCTAGCTTGGGCCTCCTCACTGCCTGGGGGATTAAGGATACAGAGATGTCTTAGTTGGTGGCTGCCTTCCTCCAGGGTAAGCTTTCTAAGAGGTAGGAAGTGGAATTGGCTGGACTTGGGCCTGACAGCTGATCAAAGCAGTCATGCCTCCCCTTGCCCCCTGCCTTATTAGAGGGGACGAGATGCAGACCTCATCTCTCCATAGGAAGAGAGTCAGAGAATCTGTGGCCATCTTTAATGATCTTCAGAACTATAAGGCAAAGGTAGTTTTCTTCTTTGGCACATTTTGTTTCCCCCACCAAAGACAGTGTATGGCTTCTCAAGGTGCCTACATTGACAGATTATCACTCACTTTGATTTCAGTTCTCATCCAAATAAAAACCCCAGCATTGTGTTGCATTGTGGCCACACCTCATGTGCCTTGGTGTTATAGCAGCAGGCAGCCCACAGTGGGAAGGGTTAGACCAGTCACTGCTTTTCCCTTGAGCTCCTCTCATCAGACCCTTTCTGAGTGATGTCTACTAATGACCTCCTCTTATCACTCCTCCCTGCCCCTGCCTCACCTGTTAAAAGTCATCTCTTGAAAGCCCATGCAAGCAGCACATCATGTCTTGACTCAGAGAACTTCACTCTTCTCATTTCTCATACAGCCCAGACATTCACGTAGGCCTTTAAGGTCCTCCACAGCTGAAAAGGCATAGCTTCCTGGTTAAGTTTTCCCTAGATGGTTTCCCTACTTTTTCCAACAGTGTCACCCAAACACACAGCCATGCATGCCTGTAGACCCAGCGCGCATACACACATGGACTCATGTCATTCTCTCAACTCATGTTTATTCAATGTCTGCCTGAGCTGGGTGCTGTGCTCAGCTTTTAGTTCTAGCAAGCTCAGTTATTGTTCCACAAGTATGCCTTACGTTTTTGCCTTTCTGGGTCTGGCTTACATTCCTGAAGCTTAGGTGCATTGCTTATTAATGTTTTATTGTTTCTCTTAGTACCAAGCACTGTGCTACCCAAGTATCAATGTAGCAATAAACATGAGTTCCAATACTACATGGAGGAGCGCTTCCTTCTCTCTTACATTCTGTCTTATACTTTTCTCTGCTGCCTGTGTCACCCTTTCTCCGTTGGAGGCTCATCTAGAGTCAGCAAGCTCTCTCATCCTCCCTTATTTAAAATTTTAACATACTTCCCTCTTACTACCTCAGAGACTCATGGTGAGAGTGGAGTAGGTGGGCATAATTTGAGGCACTATGGAAGTCCACAGAACTCTTGGTATAAGATACCGTTGCAGCCATAGTCACTGAAACATGACTCATTCAGGACCATAAGTGGACTTCTGGCATGTTTCAAGCAGCCTCCCAGGCCTAGGGCAGACCATGAAGAATCAGACATGGTTGTCACATTTAAGAAATTCACCCCTTAGAAATACACAGTAGACAAGATTTGAGCTTTTGGCCATCTGATAAGCAGATAAGAGATGGCAAACTCTGCTCAACTTTCCTGCTTTGCTTTACCAAATTAGAATTCTATAAACCCAGTTGTTGGGGTGGCTCCAATTAAGCAGCTGTAGAGGTGGAGAGGCAGACATGTCGCTGAGTGACCCAGAGAGGGTTTCCAAATATACACCTACTCTGCCTCTTCTCTCCCAAGACTCTCAACTGAGATGATGGGACCCCTTCGCAGAGGTCAGAGTGGGGAAGATGTATCACCTGAGTTTAGCCAAAGCTCCCAGCTAATCCTGGGGTCTTATGCCCCATCTTAAGCCTCCCCTGTGAAGATAGACTCTCGCAAGCGATATATGAGTAGGTGTCCTATGTTGGCTAACTGTAGACCTGGCTGTTTTTCAGGTTCATTCGGCCCCTGGCCACTTTAGGACACCAGGTGCTGACCCCAGAGACCTGCCATGAAACCACACCTGAAGCAATGGAGACAACGAATGCTCTGCGGGATATTTGCTTGGGGGCTCCTCTTCGTGGCGATTTTCATTTACTTCACCGACAGCAGCCCTGCTGAGCCTGCGCCCAGCTCATTCTCCCTCCTGGAGACCAGGAGGCTCTTGCCCATGCCAGGGAAGCAGAGGGCTATCATGGGCGCCATGCAGGAGCCCTCCTTGCCCGGCAGCGTAGACGCAAACAAGGGGCTGCTCGATGGACGTCCCTCTGGCCCCTTCCTCATGGGTCCGCGTGACCTGCAGAGATGGGACCAGGTACAAGATCGTTTTGAAAACGAAGAGCTCTTTTCACCCCAGGCCAGGAAAAAGTCTCAAAGTGCTTTCCACCCGGGGGACGATGACTACTTTTTTGCTGCTGGTCAGCCAGGGTCGCGCACCCACACTCAGGGCACGTCGAGGTCCCTTTTCCCCGGGGACGTAGACTGGCGCGAGGGGGTGTCGCCGGCTCTTGAGGCCCATAGAGGGCCGGTGAAAAAGAGGCACCGGCAGCAGGGAAGGAGGCATGTGTTGGATGAAGGCGACGACGGGGACAGGCTGTACTCCTCCATGTCCAGGGCCTTCCTTCACCGGCTCTGGAAGGGAAATGTCTCCTCTAAGATGCTCAACCCGCGCCTGCAGAAGGCGATGAAGGATTATCTGAGCGCCAACAAGCACGGCGTGCGCTTCCGCGGCGGCGCGC